GGTATACTCTCAATTATCTAGCGAATCCACGCCTAATTGAACCAACCTCTGTGTGCCTCTTCCAACCCGTCTTCACCTCGAAATTTTCTTTACAATGAGCCACTCCAGAATCCACCAAAGCTTCAGGCTCGTATTCTTCAGAATCCACCGAAGAACAACTCTCTCTTTTGTGTAGAACAAACAAATAATCTTTTGATATATACTCTTTAAACCATGAGTTGACTACTCAATCAAAACATCAAAGAACACTAGCAAAATATCCCCAGACATAAACCTTAATATCCAAAAAGAAGATCTGGAGAAGTAATCCTAGATTTGGACTGAAACACGCATTTATACAAAATTGTCCCGCGATCTCTGTTCGAGCGTCGGATTGGCCGCTCAAGCGGACCTACGCTCGAGCGCGAAAAAACAACATCCAGTATTTTTGCAGGCGAATAAACTTTTGGAACTCAACATTCTCTGCTCGAGCAGGGAGGCAACTTTGAATGATCCCCGTCATAATCAGCGAAATGGCAATCTTGAAAGTATTAACATCACAAACTTCTCTGCAAGGTACAATTCGGGTTGGATTCACATCTAAACACTCATAGCCTCACTGAAATAAAAAGTGCGAAAACAAATACAATTTAAAGAAGTTTTGTCAAACGGGGTTGCCAAGAATAAAAACCTAACAAGTACTAAACAAAAAGTTCTGGGTGCATACGCCGAACTTTCTCTTCTAATTCCCAAGTGATATCGTTCTCATTCTCGCTCCATTGCACTTTCACCAAGTTCACTTTCTTGCACCGCAACTGTTTTACATCCTGGTCTAGAATAGTAACTGATCGCACCACATACTTTAGATCGTCACTATTCTCCAACACTTCTAGTGATACTATTTGGGAAGGGTCTTGCACACACTTCCGCAATAAAGATACGTGGAACACGTTATGAATCTTAGCTAAAGTAGGTGGTAGAGCTAGTTTGTAAGCCACATTACCAATCCTCTCAATGATCTCATATGGTCCCACTAATCTAGGTACCAACTTGCTCTTCTTTCTGAACCGATGATACCCTTCATTGGCAAGACCTTCAAAAACACAAAATCTCCAACATTCAACTCAACCCCCTTACATTTTCTATTAGCGTAATTCTTCTGATGACTCTGTGCAGTCTTAATACGTTCCTGAATAATGTTCACCTTCTCCGTGGTCTCTCTCACCAATTATGGCCCTAACAACGGCGCATCTCCTACCTCCATCCAACAAGCAGGTGATCGACATGGCCTCCCATACAAAGCCTCAAAAGGTGCCATCCCGATACTAGAGTGATAGCTATTATTATAAGCAAACTCCACCAATAGTAAGTGTTCTTCCCAACTACCACCAAGATCGAAGACACAAGCTCTCAACATATCCTCCAAGATCTGATTTACCCGTTCAGTTTACCCATCTGTCTGAGGATGATAAGCCGTGCTCAAGTCTAACCTAGAACCCAAAGTATGCTGAAAACTCTTCTAAAACTCTACCACAAATAACGGATCATGATCCGAAACTATAGAAACTGGTGCGCCATGAAATCACACCACCTCCCGAATATACAACCTAGCTAGTTTATCTGCAGTTCGGTGAACACTGATCAGAATAAAATGAGCAGACTTGCTGAGTCGATCCACTATCACCCAAATAGATTCATTGCCTCACTTAGACCGCAACAATCCATCCACGAAATCCATAGAGATGTACTCCCATTTCCAAGTAGGGATCTTGAGAGGCTACAAAAGTCCAAACGGTCGTTGGTGTTCTGCCTGCTGGCACACATAACATTGAGAAACATACTCTCCTACGTCTTTCTTCATACCTTCCCACCAAAACATCATCTTCAGGTCATGATACATCTTAGTCCCACCAGGGTGAATTGTATATCGGGATCTATGGACATCATCCATAATCTCTTTCCTCAATTCAACAATGTTAGGTACACACAACCTGCCCTTGAATCGCAATCCCCCATCTGAGTCCACAGACCAATCAGTAGGACAATCATCGATCAAATCCACTACAAGGTCATCGAGCTTGCTGACGAGAGACCCATCTAAATTCTGCATCTGACGAACTTTACCTAGTAACGTCAGCTGCACGGTCAAACTACCAATGTATGCCCTTTCAACACTCTCTATTGGTTGAACATCATGCATTGAAATTAACTCCAAGGACTTCCATTCCTGAATCATCAAAGAAGCTATAATCCCATGTTGTCGACTAAGTGCATCTGCGACCACATTTCCTTTCCCTGGGTGGTAAAGGATCTCGAAATTATAACTATTGATGAATTCAACCCACCTCTGTTGCCTCATGCTCAACTCTTTTTGAGAAAAAAGATATTTGAGGCTCTTATGATCTGTGTATAACTCAAAGTGCTCCCCAAACAAGTAGTGTCGCCACACTTTCAACATAAAAACAACTGCTGCCAACTCTAAGTTATAAGTAGGGTATCGTCTCTCATGAGGTTTTAACTGTCGAGAAGCATAAGATACAACCTTCTGATGCTTCATCAACACGCATCCCAACCCAGTTCCACTCGCATCAGTAAACACTACTAACTTTTGCCCTTGTACTAGTATAGTTAACACCGGTGTTGTAGTCAACCGCTGCTTTAACTCCTGGAAAGCTCTCTCACAATCATCTGTCCATACGAACTTCACATTATTGCGGGTCAACTTGGTCATGGGTGCTGCAATAGTGGAAAACTTCTCTATAAATCTCCTGTAATAACCGGTTAGTCCTAAAAAACTTCTCAGCTCTGTAGGGTTCGTGGGCTGCTTCCATTCTTTGACCGCAATAACCTTTTTAGGATCTACCAATATCCCCTAATTGGATACAACATGTCCCAAAAATCAAACTTCTTTCTCCCAAAAGTGACACTTACTAAACTTAGCATATAACTGATGTTCCCTCAAAGTCTGCAACATGACTTTCAAGTGTTCTCTGTGTTCTTCTTCATTCTTAGAATACACCAGAATATCATCTATGAAGATAATCACAAACTTATCTAGATACGGTTGAAAAATTCTATTCATCAAGTCCATGAAATAGGCAGGAGCATTGGTCAGACCAAAAGGCATTATAGGAAATTCGTACAACCCATACCGAGTCCAAAAAGCAGTAAGCGGTATACTTTCTTCTGACACACCCATCTAATGGTAACCCGTTCTAAGATCAAACTGAGAGAACATGGCTGCCCCCTTCAACTGATCAAACAAGTCATCAATTCTAGGTAGCGGATACTTGTTCTTGATAGTCACCTTGTTTAACTCTTTGTAATCTATGCACATACAGAGAGTGCCATCTTTCTTGGAAACAAAGATCACGGGTGCTCCCCATGGGGAGTTACTTGAACGAATGAATCCTTTCCAAAGTATCTCTTCTAGCTACTTCTTCATCTCCACAAGCTCTTTAGGCGCCATTCTGTATGCCACCTTAGAAATCGGTGCAGTTCCCGGCACCAGGTCAATGCGAAATTCAACTACCCATCGAGGTGGAGGTCCAGGTATCTCCTGAAATACATCCTCAAACTCACGTACCACATCTACCTCACTAATATCCTGTTTAGGGATTTCTACCGAGCATAGAAAACTCGTCATCACCGACTCTTCTTCATCGCTAGAAGTGTGGGTAAGCCGTGGCATACCGGGAATATCTATATTTACAGTCCTTCCAGCACAATCTAGAGTCACAAATAGATTTTATATAAGATATTTATATTTATATATGTTATATTTGTGATTTATTTGTATGATATAATGTAATAGGAAATTAGATTATTTTATATTTAGACTTAGATTTATATATATAGTATAATATAATAGTCAATTAGATATAATATTAACTTAGGTTTAATCACTTTTTGTGGAAGAATTTTCAAGAGAGCCGAGAGAGAGAGAGAGAGAGAGAGAGAGAGAGAGAGAAATCAAAACATAGAGTGTTGTGTGTGGCGAGAAAAGGGACGACGGAAGAGAAAAGAAAAAAGAAGAAAAAGGTTAGGGTTTTGTTTTGGTGGTTCTATTAATCTTTCAAATATTTCTTTGATCTTCAAAAAAAATATTATGAGTACAAAACCCACTTCCTTTGATTTATGTTTAATTCGTTATTTTTATAGATTTGATGTTGGTTTGATTTTGTATTTGTATGTAGATGATGAATTGATTTCATGATTTGATTACGTGTGTATGTAAGGTTTAGGGTTTTTGTATATATTTATTTTGTGGACGTAATCACACTCATGAATATATGAAATTAAAATAACTTAGGAATCCATAAATAAATTCCTTATACTCTACCATGACTCCATGGATTATTGTTTTATTTGAGTGTTAGTGAGAAATAGTGTATAAAAAAAAAAAAGTGAGGATTGTGAGATTTATTTGAATGCCTTAGGCTTAGCATTATTATATTTGTTGTCATGAGTAAATGAGAGATTGTGTATATATATTGTTGCCTCGTTATCATGAGTAGATGAGTGCTTTGATTTACGCGTGTACGTATATGCTAACCATCTGGAGAGTGTAGGTCAAACTCGGGACGATATCCCCGTGCAAGTTTGGCTTCAGAGCGGTGTTAGGTATACGGGAGGCACATTAGATATATGTATAGGCCGGAAATGATGGGCCGAAGTGGTGGAGTTAAGGTACAAAGAATTAAATATGAGTTTACTGTTATAGTGTGAATTGTATTGATTTGTACATCTTGAAAAATAGTAAACGATCTCGATAAATTGTGAAATTTGAGTAGAGACATATATACGTGATTCTAGACAACTTTTTTGTTTTAATTTTTTTTTTTAAAAGATCGACTAGAACTTATAATTGAATGATGTTGGTTATTGTAATTTTGATTCATTTTAGCAATGCAGATTTTAGAGGCTATTTTAATCCACGAAACGAGCTCATTTTTATTGGTTTCAGGTAAATTAAAGTAAAACATTATTCTAAACACTTTTCATGTTTTGAACTTTCCAAAAAAATTCATCTTACAGCAGTTTCTTTTCGTTTTCAGTTCCATATTTTTCGATCGAATTTCGTTTAAGATTTTCTATTAAGTTTTTCTCTCAACCTGTTCAGTTTCTATTAAATTCGTCCATGCTACCATTTAGAAAATTTGATTATGTACAACTTTTGTTCTTTGAGTTTTGGTCAATTCGAATTATTTAAGTATGAAACGGTGCATTGCAAGTTACTTATGATTAAATTATACTAACTTTATTTTTTTTGAAGATCAAAGAAATATTTGAAAGATTAATAGAACCACCAAAACAAAACCCTAACCCTTTTCTTCTTTTTTATTTTCTCTTCCGTTGTTCCTTTTCACGCCACACACAACACTCTATGTTTTGATTTCTCTCTCTCTCTCTCTCTCTCTCTCTCTCTCTCTCGGCTCTCGGCTCTCTTGAAAATTCTTCCACAAAAAGTGATTAAACCTAAGTTAATATTATATCTAATTGACTATTATATTATGCTATATATATAAACCTATGTCTAAATATATAATAGCCTAATTTCCTATTACATTATATTATACAAATAAATCACAAATATAAGATATATAAATATAAATATCTTATATAAAATCTATATCAATAATTTCTTTTTATATATATAAATAAATATATAAATATAAATATTCAGATTAATTATATATAATTAACTAACACATTAAATTAATTAAATACCATATTAAATTCTTATATTACTATGCAATTAATAAAGCCAAAAATAAAAGCCGATCACCATGGGTCCATTACCGCCATTGTAACGCCCCGCCTTTTTATTACTCGGATTCCATTACCAAACCATTATTATAGATTCAATTTCAGAGATAACATACAAAAATTCTTTATATTTACAAGAACACATGAATAAAGATTCTCTCATCTGAATATAATATGAATGCAACAAGAGTTGTATTTAAATAAATTGCCCGTAGGCTTACATCTTTTAAACTAAGAGGAAGGGTTTAACCCTTTTACATCAATGGCATTCTGCCCCACAAATAAAAGGCCCCGTGGCCAACAAGTAAAGAAGATCCACGACCTTGAAACACTCCTCGACGTTCACCTGAAAAAGGATTAGCAACGTGGGATGAACATAAAGTCCAGTAGGGATCTCAACATGATCCTAAACAATAACAACTTACAGATAGGTATGATCATGAATGCTTAGTCTCATACTATAATAATAATGTGACGGTTTATACAGAAATATACGTATATAAGAACTTTTCTTAAA